GCCAGAAGTTAAATCCGTTCATTGCAACATAATTTACACGAATGCTTTCAAAAGTGTTGCGTGACCAAAGCCATATTTGCTTCAAAGGCAACCAGCAGACCAATCAACAAATCAGCAGCCTCCCGAAGAGCTTAGCAACACTCCAACAGCCAGCGAAGCTGACGAGTGGAAGCCAATGAACCACGAAGCATTCTAACTGCATTACTAATAAGATGGACTTGGCATTACGTGCCACGTATCCTTTGCTCATAAATTGTCACCAAATTGAGCATCTGCATGTGCGCTTATGTAATCCACATATGTATGTGTGTGTGTGTTTGCATGTATGTGTCTATATGTTCGTGTGCGTGACAGCTGCTACTGTTGCAGCAACACGCATCCTTACTTTGCTCCTACAACTTGCAACATTTCATTGCTGTTTATGGTTGCACTCACATCTACATACACACATAATGCGTGTATATTATATGTATATATGTATGTCATATATATATGTATGTATGCATGTGTGCGTGCTTTGTATTTGTAAGAAGCCTTCATTATTAAGGTTGTTAGTGCCAAAGCACGCCTTACTCATCATTCTAGACACGCAAGTGAGTTTGTTGTCGGCTCGCAGTGTTGTTGTTGTTGCTTCTGCTGCTATTATTGTTATTTTTGTTGCTGATAGTCCGCTCCATCAATGAATGGGATGTCGGCGCCAGTACTACTAAAACCGGGCGGCTGGCTACTCACGCCTAAGACGACGTGTCCAGACAAAACGTACACATCCGTTTGAGTGCACCAAAGTGGTTTTCCTCGCCGTCGATCTGGCTCGTAAGCTGCGCCGTACAATGTATATTTGCCATACATTTGTATGTACGTGTTTATGTGTAGATTGTGATCGTTGTTATTTACGAGGGTTCCTTGTTAGATTTTGGTTTGAGATATTGTTGTTGTTGTAGCTCCAAGATTAACAAGGGCTTCTAAAAAGCTCGAAAAGATTTAGTGGCCTCTCTCAGCCTAGCTAGTGTCGCCAACTGCACCTGTGTGTATGCTTGTGTATAATTTTTACTTTTCAAATGTTATGATTGGCCGAAGATGTTTATGCCATTTCAATACTGTGTGCTTGGTTTGCATTATATTATGTGTATATACTTGTATGTTTTTATTTATGTATTTAAACATAACGTACATCTAACTCAAGACTCTCCCACAAGACCACCGGTTATGAATTAGTTTGTGGGACGGACAGGACATTTCAGTCTGCTCTTTATTGTGCGGACTGACGGACGCCTAATCTGTTGAAAAGTCTCAGTTTTGTCATTATAAGAGCAGACGCTTCGCTAGCCGCTTTCCATTTCTCAGCCGACTGACACATGAGTGTCTTTAACTTATCGACTGTAAAACTACCACTTATCGACTGTAAAACTACCACTGGGTGTGATTTTTAGTTCCTACCTTTGCGAGGGCAATTAAATAAGACATGTTTAGAGTATTTTATACGCTCTGTACACGTCGGACAGTTCGGATTAATGTCGTTGTGGAATTTTTAAAGGTAGCTTCTAAATGTTGCTGTCCACTAAGTATTTGGGTCGGTTGGAAATCCACTTCGCCTGTCTATCCACGCTTGGCTGTCCGGAATAAGTACATATGTGGGTCCAGCGTCTTGTGGCTGAGGATTGTCAACGCTGCCACATTTTGATGTTCTTGTTCCTCTCCTCTGTCTTTGGCGATACTATTTTAGGAGCTGGTATAATGGCTCGAGCTCATGTCCGTGGATGTCAATTGGAGCAATTTCTTGGTTCTTCGATTGCTTTTTAAATTTTCGGGATGAATCCCGTTACTCTGTAAAAAATTTATTTTTATCAACGATTCATTTTCTTTACATACTTTTATATCGTTCTTTTTTATTTTTATTTTGCAAAAATGGTATTTTAAGGTCTCTATCGACAGGATTGAAATCATACAAAGTTAAAAAAAAAATATTTTGTACTCGTTGACAACCCCCCAAAAAAAGATCTTAAAAAAAAGTCGAAATAGCGTAGCCAATTCTTTTATTTTTTGTTAAAAATTCCTTCCAAATTTTAACAATAATATTTTTTGGCATAGCTAACACCAAAATATCGAATATAAAGAAGAGTTGAAATGGCGTTGCCAATCAGATTTTTTTTTTTTGTTAAAATTTTCATCCAAATTTCATCAATAATATTTTTCTACACGTAGCTAACATCAAAATATCGAATACAATGAAAAGTTGAAATGGCGTTGCTAATCGGATTTTTTTTTTGTTAAAATTTTCATCCAAATTTTATGAAATTTTAACCCTAAAATATTGGATATAATGGAATAAAGGAAATTTCATTGCCAATCGATTTTTTTCATTGTTAAAATTTCTTTCCAACTTTCACCAATAATAATTTTCCGCACACATTTAACACCAAAATATCGAATATAATGAAGTCGAAATGGCGTTGCCAATAAGATTTTTTCGTTAAAATTTTTATTCAAGATTTTATGGATAATGGTTAAAAGTACCCATATGTGATAGTTGAAGGTTTTAAAAATGGTAGAAAAGTGCTGAAACAGCAAGGAAGGGATCTTACAATCGTCATTCCCAAAAAAAAGTGAACGATATTTAATGCTTTCGATGATAACTTGGTTTGAACGTGTTTGAATGATTATACAATAATAATAAAAGCTGATTATCGTTTTTAGTTTTTTCTAGATGTTTATTGTGAAAAAATAGTGACGAAGTGACAAGCTGATAAATTGATTCTTGAATCTTCTTGCGCTTTCTAATAGATTTTGCCACCGAACGGCCATTTTTCTTCTCGCAACTGTACGAATAATGCTCATTATGTTTCTTTAGGAGAGCACATCGCGCTTGCCAAACATTATTCTAGTATGTAATATCATCGTAAATTCTTTCCTCAGTTGTTTCGTGTTTTCGTCTATGCCGGAAGCAAGTCCGTTGCGCTGACTTTTGTCATTGGCATTACTTGCCAGCAGTTTGCCAACACGTCACACACACGCACACAAATATAAGAATGCATATGCATACATATATTTTCACATCTGTTTTGGCGTCATCTCAGTTACGTACTCCTCTCGTTTCTTTTGCTTTTTGCTTGTGTGGTCAACGTCACCGTGATAATTGTGCTGCTCATTGCTATGCGTCATTACTAAAATGTTTTTGTTTRTTGTTGTTGTTATAACGTATTACAAGCCAGCTTTGAAACTACTGTTGCAGGCAATAAAAGTCCACGCGGCGACAAAACGTGAACGATTTCCGTCGGTTTTGCGCACCTTTTCAATAAAGTCGACAATTTGTGTGAGACACACATACATTCATAGAAATATATGTACATGTTTATGTGCGCTTTGCAGCTGCGTAACGTCACCAAGTCCACTAAGAATGCAGCATTGACATTTAGCTCAAATCGGCCGGTGAAATGCTTTGTGTCTGCGCATGGGTGGACATTCAAAACTGGACTGAACTGTTGTGATTTGGTGACTTCTGTCACGTGACACGTGTCTCCAGTCTAGCAGGCTGCTTGTAGTATATTTGTGTGTGTTGAAATGCTTATGTTTATTGAGATATTTGTAGATTTGCCTGCACACGTATTTTCATTCCTGAAAAGAATTTATGTTAGTCAAATATTGAGCTCGGTTGACTGTTTTTTTGAATATCTTTGGTCTAACATTGAGACCGCTTAACTGTTTTTTGCAACTTGTGTGAAGTTTTGAGTAATTTTCGAGATGTGTTTTCATGCTTGGCCAGGTTATATATATTCTTCGTGTTTTCAGTTTGGACCATGGATCACGAATATTCAACGAATACATTTACCTATAAAGGAAAATTTGAAATAATATCCCAGAAATGGTTAAAATTCCTTAAAATATTGAAGAATCGTATATGAAAGGCTACTGCGCGCCTAAAGATAGACTTCTCAACTGATTTCGGAATAATTTCTATGCAAATTCCGCTAGATGTCGCTGAATATTATTCGAAAGTATTTACTATCCGAATTCATTTATCTTGAAATGAAGCCTGCTCCACTTAGATAACAAAATTTATTTGAAAATTGAGTCCATAGACGACGCTTATGTCGTTATATTTATAAGTCGCCTATATTATAATATCTTCTTTTACAATAACCTTATGGACGAGCAATTTCTACAAGTTAGTTATCACTTTGCTTCGAAGAACTAGAAATCAGCTTTCCAACTCCATCCGAGGTTTTCCAGATGCTACTCTTAGCTGAGTAGTGATCGCTAGTGGCCTCGAATATCCTTTTTCCGCAACAAAGCTTGTTGCTCATGTTGTTGTTTTTGTAACGGCTATGTAATCCCCGTTAGAATGGTAAGGATTAGATAAAATGTCATAGACGTCATCCAACCAACCAGAAAACGTGGCGTTTCGACGGGTCGGACCAAAAGGAGAAGGGTTGTCAGATGTGTAGGGTTGACAGGGCGTGCAAAGAGGGGGCTAGTGTCATGTGGAGTAATTCCCCCAACCGCCGATTCTGCCTTACCGGCATTGTCCTGGACTTTATCCGGCCAAGGACTGTTACTTCGAAGATCTAACCCCGTTTAGATCGATAAGTCTCAGATTGTTACTCATCTCTGTAGAGAGTGCAGATAACAAATAGATAGCTCTGTCGAAGTGTGTTTGGCGACTGCATATTCGTTGCTATAGACCTCTACCGAAGTTCTAAACTGATTTCGTTTGTTTACTTCGTAAAAGTAGTTTCAGTTATTTAGTACCGTCTTGAMAAAAAAAAAAAAACAGTAATTTTTCTTCTAAGAATTCTCAAAGATACAATTTGTGTTCTGACAAGTATTATGTCTTCCTTAACACCTTCCAATATGCTTCACTGCAATAATATTGCCTATATTTCGGCGCGCATTTTTTAAGTTATTCGTAGGGCTCTCTTTACAGCCGCTACCAAATTTTTAATATTTTAAATACATTTTTTTTTATCTCTCACTTATTCCATTATTTTTTCTCTCTTCTACAGAGGCAAATTCGCTGCTGTGCGTCGCGCCATACATAAAAATTCCGGTACACATTTTGCTGCCAAATTTCTGAAACGACGCCGACGCGCTCAATCCTCAGATAAGGAGATCAAACACGAGATCGCTGTGCTAATGCTATGCGATGGCGCCGACAATATTGTCAAATTGAATGCCGTGCACGAGTCACGCTCCGACACAGCGTTGCTGCTGGAACTGTAAGTTGAATTACATACACATATACAATTCTACATACATATATACATACCTATATATATCCACATACATCTATTATGTACAATCTTACTTACACATAACTGTAATTGCATACTTGCAGGGCAACCGGTGGCGAGCTACAGACATTTCTAGACAATGAGGAATGCCTCAGTGAGGCACATGCGCGCTATTGCATGCGCGAGGTACTTAAGGCATTGCAATATCTGCACAAACGTTCCATAGCACATCTGGACTTGAAGCCGCAGAATATATTGCTCACTGGTGAGCGCATTGAAGGTGCGTATATAACTGTAAATACACCTCTTTCTGTATACTAATTGATTATCGATTATTGTTGTTGTAACTTGTAGACGGTTTGAAGCTGTGCGATTTTGGCATCTCACGCGTGGTCGCCGAGGGCACCAATGTGCGTGAGATTGTCGGCACACCGGATTATGTTGCACCCGAGGTGCTGCAATACGAACCGCTCTCATTATTGACGGACATTTGGTCGGTGGGCGTGCTGGCCTATGTGCTACTGTCCGGTTTTTCGCCATTCGGCGGCGAAACCAAACAGGAAACGTTCCTCAACATTTCGCAGTGTGCGCTGACATTTCCGGACAAGCTGTTTGGCGGAGTGTCCGCTGCGGCCATTGATTTTATACGTCGCGCATTGCGAATAAAACCAAAGTAAGTCCGAAACGCATACACATTCATAAACACAATACATAATTTCCATTCAAAATTATTTGCAGTGATCGCATGACCGCTGCAGGATGTCTCGAGCACATTTGGTTAAAAGACGAATGCTCCATCGATAGACAAATCCTCACCGATATCACCAAATCAACGACAGTCGACTCAGCCGCAGCTGCAGAAGATGAGGATGATGATGATGAAGAAGATGTAGATGTAGATGAAGATGAAGACGACGACGGCGACGACGAGGCGGAAGAGGAGGACAATGAGGTTAAAGCGAATGAAGCTGAATTGGAAAACGAAATGTCACATGATAACGGCGATGAAGACGAGCTCAATATTAGTATTGACACAGAACAACAATTGAATGGTACAAATGGCAGCAAAATGGAATCATCGGATGTCGAAGAATTGGCGGAGGAGAGCGCAACCAACAAACAGGCGCTTATTACTAACGGCAAAACAGCGTACAATAAGAGCAACAGCAACGGTTACAGCAACTATAATGGACGCAGCGCCAGCAACAGCAATTACAGCAACAACACCGCACGTCATAACGGCACACACATTACGTATGCGAATGGCGCTGGCAGCGCTGCGCGTTACGCGAACGGCGTTAAAGCGAGCGCGACAACAACAGCAGCAACAACAACGCAGCGCACGACCGCCGTGGTGACGGTGCCGGCTGTGCGTGCCACCACCATACCTCTACAATACAACGGCGGTGACTATCGCCAGCAACAACAACAACAACATCAATTGCAACGGCAACAACAACTTCAGGTGCTTGCGCGTCGTCATTCATCCTCGGACTCCAACAAGGAGAACACCTTTCTGGCTACGAAGAAAATAGCGCCGTCAACTGCGAACGTTGGCAGCGTTGTGAAGAAGCCACTGACGGCTACAGCAACCACGACCATTGTGATTGCCGGCAGCGAAATGGGTGATGCGACGACGGCCACGGGTGTTGCCACTGCTAATGTGGTTGCCACATTTACGCTGCCCAGCGGCTACAATCACAATCACAGTAATCACAGCAATAACAGCAACAGCAGCATCAACAACAGCTGCTTGAATAGTAGTAATAGCAATCACAGCAACAACAATGCGAATCACGAAAAGTATATAACAACAACAACCCACTGCCTCTTTCCCGACGCACCCACAACACCGAAAGTTATACGCAAAACCCCAAACACCGAAGCCTCCCCCACCTCGGTCAAAGCATTGGTGAAGAAGTTTCAATTAGAAGGCGGCAATACCAGCCCCACAGCCTTTGAAAAGCACGCCACCACACATCTGAAAGAGGCACAAGCAACCAATCAACAAACATTACATGCAACAACAACACAAATGAACGGCGTTAGCGCTGGCAGCAACAGTAGCAGCAGCAAGAAGTCGCCAATCACTAACGGTATTGCCAAGAAATTCGATACGACACGCAAGTATGGCGGCGAACAACACAATGGCACAGCTGGCAGCGGCAGTCTCAGCAACGGTCGACGTGCCTCCGAGCCAGCGACGGTCACACATGTCACGACGCATATTGCACACAATCGCAGCGGTAGCGGTGGCATCGGCATTGGCAGCGCCGCCGCGACCAGTTATAAAACGACTTGCGTACTCTGCATCGGTGGTGGCGGCAGCAAGGCGGCTTCGTCGAATGGCATCAGCAGCGATGGTTGCAGGCACTCAACGGACGCCGCCGGCAGGTACAACAAAACGTCAAGCATTAGCAACAATAATGGCACGGCGGCCACCAAGTGTTGTAGCAGCAAAATGTCCAACAGCAATGCTAATGCCACCAACACTGCCAACGTTACCGCCACTGCCATTGTGAATGGCAGCAGCAATGGCAGCACTGCAGCCACCACCACAACGGCACTACTGCTGGGCAGCAGCCATCATCAGCAACAGCAACAACAACAGCAGCAGCAGCTCCACCAGCATCACATGAACGGCGTACACCATCATCCACATCACCATCATCACCATCACCATCATCACATGCATGCGGCGACGAAGGCGGCCACCGCCAACAATTTAAGCTTAGATCAGGGTATTATTTGTTAGCTAAAGGCCAATCGGGCGCGTAGAAATGCCAGAAATTTCTTTAATCGATTTCTTTGCTGCATGTAGTATTGCGTTGATGCTTTGTAAGCGGTCTGTGGTCCCTAAGCAAACAGCTGTTTGCCTCTGAAAACCGCTTACAGGCCGGCAACTTGCATATGCGTTGAGTGTTGTTGTTGCAAGCGGCGTGTGGCGGTGCGCTATGTCTGTTTTTGCTCTTTGTTAATCTTAATATTTAAACTGCTGGTTAAAGTAATTCTTAAAAGTGATCAAAAAATATACATATATACATATATATATCAAGTAACTTATATATGTATACATATATCTTGTGAATTGTTGTGAGTTATGCGCACCCCGCTCGTCCTACACACACACACACACCGCTATTGTATGCGGCATTAGCCTCATTGCGCAATACGCGCATGCGCATAACTGTTAAATTTAGTTTAGTGTTACAACTTTACAGCTAATTAATTTTGAAGCTAAATACAAGCGCCAGCTGCGTATTAAGGCGCGCTAGTTACCGAAAATTGCTAAGTTTATATTGGATTAGTTCAATGGTGGTTGGCATGCTAGCATTGCACAAGACTTTCTCTGTATGTTGCCGTACAATTATGTCAAATCAAATTTATTGTTAGGAAAAAATGAAATTAAAGCTTAGATGTTTTAAAATTATTATTTTTTATTTTTATTATTATTTCTTTTTGAATTATTTTACGAAATTTTCTAGTTACGTTAGGCCAGTACAGAAGCCTTGAGAATGTTAAAAAGCGAAAAAAATCAGTAGTGGTTTGAATTCCATAGGAAAAGTCGGTTAAAATTATAAATATTAAAGCAAAAATAAATTACAGGCAATCTGAGGTCATAAGAGCGGGAGGGAAAGGGAATTCGCGTTTGGATTTTTATGGTTCAAAAACAGTTTTTCTCGATTTTTTGGCAAAACTATGACTACAATAGAAAAGTTGTATGTCAAAGTTGTACATAATGAAAAGATGTATATACTACTTTTCTCCATAACCTCAAAATTTATGTGCAAGATGCAAATAATGAAATCGGGTCACCTTGAAATGTAACTACGAGACTTAATTGTATGGCAAAGTTGTAGCCAATGCAAACAACTACAACTTTGTATGCACAACTTTTCGCCATAACCTCAAAATTTATGTGGAAAATACAAATAAATTTGGTCACCAAAAAACTGTAAGTAGGAGTCTGAAAGAATTTTTTATATTTGAGAGTTGTAGCTAAAGAGAAGAACAATAACTTTTGCATGCACAACTTTTTCTCATAACCTCAAAATTTTTTCGAAAAAAAAATTGACGAAATCTGGTCACCTTACGATTTAACTACGAGTTTTAGAGTAAAACTAGTATATGGCAAAATTGTAGCTATAGCAAAGATCTACATCTCTTGTATGTACAAATTTTCCCCATTACCTCAAAATGTATGTGAAAATTGCAAATATACAATTTGGTCATGTTATAATGTAAATGTCATAAGTGAGCATAATGTTTAAATTTTTTTATAATAGAGTGTGCGCTATTTTCATTACGCGAAGAAATAAAGTTCAATTAAAAAAATATTAAAAAAAAATAAAAAAAAAAAAAAATTATTTTTTTCACAAAATGTGGTGACCCAAACAAGCTGCAATTGTTTTTTTTTTTTTTTGAAATATGTATATTTTTCACCTTTATTTGGACTTAATAATAGAAGAGTCTCCAATTTTAAACAGTCCTTGACCGCATAAAAAATCCATGACCATTTCGGTTACGTAGAGCCGACTGTCGTAACGTAAATTCTAATATTTGCTCTGCCCGTCGTGAGCTCGCCTGTAATAATTATTTTTTTCATTGTATTTTGTTATTTTATCTGACTATTCCAATGCGTTTCGTGCTAGCATGATTTTTTCTGCTCTCTTTGTAATTTTTTTTCATACTACTTATTTTAGAAAATTTCAACCTGCTCCCGAAGTCAGCAATCCTTCGTCGCTGAAAAAACTTAATTGAAACTCACTCACTCACACAACGTTCAGCTATATCGCTTAAATAATTTACTTAGTTTATTTACTCGCTTATGTTTACAGTTTTTTTTTACAATTACAAGTATTTAGCGCTAAGTTGGTTTATTTTTGTGAAACCCTTATTTTTTACACAAAAACATATTGAAATGCCTACATTTAATTTGCTAGAATAAACAATTATGCGTTGCCCCGAAATGAAGAAATCCAGAAATCGTAAAAGAAATTGAGGGTATACATTTACATACATATGTAGGTAACATTTAGTAATGCCTCAACTTACTAGTTTTTTATATAAATAAAATTTAGTTGAAATGGCATCATAGACTAAACAATTTCGCGCTGTCGCCGCCGCTGCTGCTGCTGCTGATCTTAATTAAGTTTTAGTGAATTAGTTTATATAAAAGTGTATAGTTATATTGGCTGTTAGAGCTTCAAATTGTTGGGGTCGCCGCCGTTGTCGTATGTTTTCTACACTGCAAAAAATTGCGTTCTACTTGTTTAAATCTATTATATTTTTTATTTTTCTTTTTTTTTGCATTCTTCGTTTGCTTTGTACAACTTAAGTTTCTCACCTGCTTACGTTTCTTTTTTATATATTTAATTATTTAATTCTATATCTATAATATATACATATATAATTTTTCTTTCTGTGTAGTTAAAGGAAATCGTTAAATTTGCAACTAAGAAAATTTAATATGAATTGCTGCTATGCATACATACAAACATACACGCATACATACATGCATACATATTATATGCCTACCTTTATTTTTAGTTGAACCAAGCGGCATTCTTTAAAACAATAAATAAATAAATATTTACGTACGTGAAACGCATAATCATTGTTGTGCCGTTCGTAGACAAACTAGTTACTAATTAATTGCGTTATGATAATTGATAATATAACTGAAATTTAATTTAAATCAATAATAATGATAATAATGCTGTGTGGTTACTTTTTGTCAAACACAAAACTTAAACGAATAAAATAAATCCATTATATTTGGTAATACATTATATAAATATTGTTTGTTTTTATTTTGGTTTAGTTTTTTATTGTTTTGTTTAGAAAATGTGGTATGATCACATACACATACATATTATTTTACTAAAAAATTAAAATTCTTATGATTTTTCGATAATTTTCTGTGTCAGTTTGTATGGCAGTTAAATGCTATATTGGTCCGAACTGCGCAATATAAATGGATATTGTAGCGCTGTCTTGGACAATACTATATACCAAATTTCGTGATTTTTTATTTCGAACTATCAGTTTGTATGGCAGCTATATATTATATTCGTTCGATCTGAACCATATATAAGGAGATTGTAGAATTGCATTAAAGCATAGTCTATGCGAAATTTCGTGAAGATTTCTAATGAACCATACTTCGAACTTGATTTCGAACGATCAGTTTGTATGGCAGCTATATGATATAGTGGTCCGAATTGAACAATTTGTTCAGAGGTTATATTGTTGCATTGACCAATAATCCTTGTCATGTTTCGTGGAGATATATTGTCAAGTAAGAAAGCTTGAGGAATACCGTTCTATATGTTATAGTGGTCTGATATCGGCGACTCCGACAAATGAGCAGCTTCTTGTTGAGAAAAGCACGTCTGCACAATTTAAGAGCGATATTTCGAAAACTGTGGGACAAGTTTACTTTTACGTTGACGTAAAATATTAAAATGATGAGTTGTGTTTAAAAATGTTGCTTAAAGTACCTCTTTCAAATATAAGACACGCTTCCTGTCTTCAGTATCAGTACTAAGATAGTCCAATCACTTAACAACATATATATGAAATATATAATATGAATTTTATGAAATAATTTTTGACTTGGTTTAACTATAACGGCTCCATTATTAACATCTTAGCTGAAAGATAGCTAAAAGCGCAGTTCAAACGAATTTCAAAATAAAAGTGTTCATTGTATTTAAAATAAACCAATTTACTAGATAGGTAAAATTGTGTGAAAAAAATTAAAATGTAGCGGATTTACATAAGTGCAATATGCATGAAATAGCGTTAAAAAGCCATTCAATTCGTGGAAGCAACATATGTACATATGTTCAAATGTTGCTATATGACTAGACACAATATGATGTTGCTTAAGAGAAAGTGAATAAAATGTAATATAATGTTGTAAAAATGTTGCATGAAACATGTTGCTAGGAAAAAGTTTTATTAAACATGTTGCATGCACTCAACTGATTGTGAGTGGTATGCTAAAATGAAATCTTCAAATGTTGCTGTAAGAATACACACAACTTATGAGAAAGGGAAAAAAAAGTTAAGTAATGTTATCAAAAATGTTGAATGAAGCATGTAAAATGCTGCTAGGAAAATGTTGCATGAAACTTGTTGCTAGGTATATGTCGCATGGCATAAATGTTGCTAAAAATGCTTACTGTCTAAATGTTGGTTAATTATTAATGTATGAATAAAACGAGTACTTACAAAGAGGACACAAATATGTACATGTTGCTAATAGGTTCTTTCGAAACAAATCTTTTTAACTCATTCTGCATGGTGAAAGAGTGAAGAGTACAAATGTTGCTATAAAACTACTCCAAACATAATAATATACTTACATATACATATACATATGAGAAAGCAGAATTATTTAGAGAAAAATATAGTATACTGCTGTCAACATGTTGCTTGAAAAATGCTACTAGGCACATGTTGCGACAAATAAAAGTTGCTAAACACGTTTGGTTTGTGTCTACGCCAACAAAGAAGAAGAAGAAACATTTTGGTATGTAAATGTTGTCTAGCTCTTGATAGATCAAATGTGCTATGAGAAACATGCTGCTAATAAAGTTATAAACATCGGTTCGTGTTCATAAATGTTGCTAATAACAATACAAGCTGGAACATAATGAATTTTGATGGTATAATTTACAAAATTGTTCAATAGTAATGTTCTCTAAATTTGTTGAGGTACAAAACATTACAGTAAAAGTATAGGTAAAGTACGAAAAATGTATGTTTAGAAACAATTGGTGTGTTGCTGAGGCATAAGTACGCTTGTTGCGTATATAAATTTGCGTGAAGTTTACGGAAAATGATTAAGAATACTTAAATTAAAATGTTTAATGTTGCTGTTGTTATGTTTACGGGAGTAGTGTATGCTTTCACAGCTTGGGTGTGCTTAAAACCAACTTCGCAGTCAAATTTATTTATTTTCTCTTTTCAGACTAAAGTTGTACGGAAAATTATTATTTCATTACATAATTGCTGTAAACTAGAATTAGTAATTGAGTACGGAGTAGGTTGTGGCAGTTATTTTTTATGGATTACTAGAAGCCAAAAAAAA